GATGAATAGTTGTTCATTTGTAACTTATCTTTTTCTACTTATTTTAATTTTTTTTATAAACTTGTTTTTAACATTTACAATAAGGATTTGTATTGTTATTCATAGATTTAAAGCATAAATTTTTTTGCAAACTTTAGCATATAAATATTTGTTACATATTAATACAAAAAAATTAGTAAATGTATGCAAGATTCAAATCTTCGGCTAATAGGAAGAAAATTGAACCAACTAACTTTTGGTCTGAATAGGATTCGTGTGTCACATGCATTTTCCTAAAATATGAACTTCAATAGAAGGAAACATCAAAGGACTACACATTAAACCCAAGTGCCAATACGATAAATAAAAAACGCGTGATTTTGACAAAATCACTCTTAAATTACCTCATGCACTCCTTATTCGTGAGTCATAGACAGAATGTCAGACGTGAGATTGGGCGTGTCAAAATCTTCCCCTAAACAAAACCCCACAAAGCCAGCCAAGCACCATTCTCCATTTTATATAAGACCCAGTTTGGCTGAAGCATCCTCCTGCTAGCTAGAGTAAGGGTGCATCAATGGTGGTAAGTGCTAGTATCAAAACCAACCTACTTGTCTTTATTTAATTCAGTGTACGAATGAATATAATTGATGTTTTAGTATTTAATTTCCCTTGTCTTATAGGTTTGTAGTATATGAATTGAAACCAACTTCTCTTAAAAACACAGCAACACGGAAATAATTAGTCTCATGGAACCCAAGCCTAAGTTACTTGCCACTGCAAGTTGTCAAGGTAAAGAGAAGTTACCTTCAGGTTTATTCAATTTATTTTCAAACTTGATTTTGATAATATATGATTGCATATAGTTTTCTTGGTTCAGAAAACGTGGATGCATGTAAAGGCTGGTCATGTCGGTGACATAATATTGCGTATAGTTTTGATTATTGTTCTTGCAGGATTTTTATGTTCTAAAAGAGAGAAATATTTAAATACTAATTATTCACTAAGTAAATAATAATTAAAACATAACTACTAATTAAAGTAATTAAAAGAGAGAAATTCAGAAAATGCTATTCCACGAGTACTGTTAAAAAATTCTATTTATAGGGTATAGCCGCACGGCTATACGTTAAAATTTAAAGGGTATCGCCACACGGCTATACGCGCTAGGCGCTGGGCGGGTTCTGTGTTTAATGTAATAAAAATGCGTATAGCCGTCCGCCTTTACTGGGTTTTTTAAGATTGTTTTTTATAAACAGTATAGCCGTGCGGCTATAATCTTTACCTAGATACTGTATTTTTTTTATTATTTTTTTCCCCGATTTTTGTTTATCGATAAGAGTGGTTTAGAACATTATTCATTACTATTAGGTCATTACCCGAGTCTGTATTCTCCTCTTTTGGGTATTTTATTTTCCATAATTATTAGCCATATAAAAAATTTAGCACTTTCACGTTTAATACTCGTATTGTGTATGTATGTACTGTGTACATATGTATTTTTTATGTTTAAAACACTTATTTTTCACAATATTTTCAAATACACATAAAATTCACGTATTATTCACAAAATACTCACATATTATTGAATAAAAATAAAATATATTTCAATAGTTAAATACTAATTATTCACTAATTAAATAATAATTAAAACATAATTAAAAGAGAGAAATTCAGAAAATTCTATTCAATGGATATAGCCGCGAGGCTATACCATTTAAAAATTCTATTTATAGAGATACATTTTAAATATTCTATTTATGGAGACCAAAACACAAGCTAAGTGCTGGGTGGGTCCTGTTTTTAATGTATTAAAAAACTGTGTAGCCGTGCGGCTATACTCAGGATTTTTTAAAATAAAAAATATATAGCCGCGCGGCTTTATGTGGTCCTTTTTTAACAAAAAAAATCTTTTTTATAAATAGTATATCCCCACGGCTATACTCTTTACCTAGATACGGTAATATTTTTTTAAAAATTGTTTTTCAGTTATTTTTGTTTATCGATAAGAGTAGTTTAGAGCATTATCCATTACTAGTAGGCCATACTTATTTTTAGGCTATGCACAAAATTGGTACAACATTTAGGTAACAAAAAAATAATAAATCGGTATGTTATTTACAGGTACTTAAAATAGGCACATGTAGAGTTACAAAAGATATGTAGATTATTCATTAAAAAAATATATATAGGTACATTAGTTTACGTTAAAACGTGATAGGTATTTTTACCAAAAAAAAAAAAAAGACGTGATAGGTATATTAAATGTTTCTTAATAGATTCAATAGGCTCAAAATGTGACTTACTTAAACTTACCCTAAAAAATTCCTAAATTCAAGCAAATTTAAAACACCATTTGATGTTTTAGTTTCCGATCAAATGTAATCCTTTCCTATCATTAATAATATATCATCCTTTCCTATCATTAATAATATATCATCCTTTAACCAAGGTGGTTGGTGTGAGTGGTTCGGCACTCTCATTCCTTAAGAGAAGGTCAGGGGTTTGATCCTTGCTCTCGTATGGAGTCACCACTTTGGCCAGCACTTTACCCCTTACGGGCCGACCCGGTGTGAGCGGGGATTAGTCTGGGTTGTGGTTAAGGCTTAAAGGTGCCACCCATAGTTGGGGCCCATCCAGGACCACCTCGTGGTTCAAACCAAAAAAAAAAAAATATATATCATCCTTTCATTTCAACCAACAACAAAAAAACACCATTTGAATATTAATGACAATTGCATCAAATATGTTCAAAGTATATTCAGAACAATCAATTGAGAAAACAACAATTGCAAAGACGTGGGGATATTTTGGATATTCAGAACAATCTAAAAATTATAATAAATTAAATCTTGAGCTTGATAAGGTAACTTGATGAGTTGGATCCTACTAATGGGTTTTTATTTATAAAAAAATAGATTTTATTAATAGGAACAAAAAGTGATTGTTGCATTTAAGGAAAATTCAATTTCAAAGGATACGCGAAATTTACTATTAATTCTATAGTTTTGGGCCTTAAGAGTGTCTCTGGTTGCTATATCTTCTTCTTTTTCTTTTTAAATTTCTTTACCATTTTAAATTCATTGATTCATATTTGCTAACTTTATTATTTGCGTAAATATTTTTTAAAGTTCTAACATAATTTTTTCTACTTACTTCAATAATTTATAAACTTCTTCTTAACGTTTATGTTCAAGATTTGTACTGTTATTATAGATTTCAAACAATAACAAATTCCTAACTTTAATATATAATTTTTTTACTTTCTAAGTCCACAAAAAAGAAGAAACTTTCTGTTATATACATTATCAAGATGCTAGCCCACATCAATTTTGATGTCTCAATTATTAATTTAACAAATCGAGTACTCTTAGTCAAAGTCGTATAGAATGTGTGGCGTAACTATTTGTCTGAATTATGATAAGCTTTGTGTTGTCACATTTTCAATAGTTTGGTTTTTATGCACATTCTTTGGAGCTGTAAAATAAGAATTTCACACGAAGGATACACTTTGAGAAAACATAATAGGAAACAACAAGAGCTACATTGAAATCAAATGAAATGCAAGTGTTGAGAGAGATAAAGAAAATTATAAGGCACGTTTTACTTTCACATTTTGAGAAAACGGTACAAGAAACAACAAAAATTATACACTGAAATCAAGTGCCAATACACGCAATGACAGAGGAGTGACATAAATGAGTTGCAGGTATGTTTCATTCCCATACTTTGAGAAAACAATAAGGAAACAACAAGAACCATACACTAAAATCAAGTGTCAATACACATGATGAGATAGAGGGGTCACACAAATGAGTCGTATATATATGTACGTTTCACTCCCACATTTCGAGAAAATAGTAATGGAAAGAACAAGGACCACACACTGAAACCAAGTGCCAATACACCTGATGAGAGGGGTGACATAAATAAGTCGCATGTACGTTTCACTCCCACATTTCGAGAAAACAGTAAAGGAAACAACAAGGACCACACACTAAAAGTGTCGATACAAGTGATGAGAGAGGGGGAGAAAGTTGCAGGTATGTTTGACTTTCACATTTTAAGAAAACAGTACAAGAACTACACTGAAACCAACAATACACCTGATGAGAGGGGTGACATAAATGAGTTGCAGGTACGTTTCACTCTCACACACTTCGAGAAAACTAAAGGAAACAAAAAGAACCACGCAATAAAATCAGGTACCAATACACATGATCAGAGAGAGGGGTGAGAGATAAACTCATTTCGAGAAAACAGCTCAGGAAACAGCAAAAACCACGCACTAAAACCATGTACCAATACAAGTGATGAGAGAGAAAGGGGTGTGATAAACTGGTTGCGAGTACATTTCTCTCCACACTTCGAGAAAGTAGTACTTGAAACAACAAAAACCACTTACTAAACCAAGTGGTAATACATAGCATCAACCAGTTGCAAGTACGATTCTCTCCCACATTATACAAGATATCTGAATTAACAAAATTAGGGTTCTTTGTTTCCTTCTTCGAATTCATCAAATTCGATCCAAAATTTGCAGGACTGAGGAAGATGGGAGCGATCCAACTAGATTGGATCGCATATCCTCATACTAACTATAGTAAAGGTGTACACGAATGGTGGTAAGTACTAGTATCGAAAGTTACTACTTTTCTTTATTTTGGTTTAGTGTGTAATAAATGATAATTGTTGTAGCGTTTGATTCCTCTTTCCTTCTAGGCTAGTGCTATAAATTGAAACCAACTCCAATCTCTTACAGACGCAAAAACACCGTAGTTGCTATCATGGAACACAAACCTAAGTTAATGGCTACTGTAAGTCGTCAAGGTCAAGGACTAGTGCATGCTGAGCGTACAATGATAGATAGATTGAGTAATCTTCCAGACCCTATAGCCCACCACATTTTTTCCTTCGTTGATCTAAAAGACATCGTACGAGTGGGCTGTGCGTCCAAAAGATGCAGACAATTTCACCTGTCAACTCCAACTTTGAGTTTCAATTTCAATGAATTTCCCGACATGAAGAAATCCCCGTGTAGCAAGAGGTTAGAGGTGATGAATTCTTTGGATAGGTTGTTAGCTCATCGCCGGAACGATAAGTTAAAACGCTTCCACATCCATTGGGTTCCGCATAACCGCTACGTGGAGGACTGCTCTTGTGATGAGAGCTTTCGGATCATGACGTGGGTCTACGATGCAGTAGGGTGCAAAGTTGAAGAGCTTGATCTTGACATCTGTGTGCATCAAGAGACACCATTAGCATTATCGTCTTTCATGTTTCTTTGTGATTCTTTGAGGTCTTTATCAGTGAACATGAAGTGTGTTCTTAAAGCACCGCCCCTTGATTCGTCATCTAATCTTAAATACCTGAATTTGAGAGAAGTTTGTATAGTAGACGAGGAGTTTTTCACATGGATCTCATGTTGCTGCAAGTGCATAAAGGAATTGCGTCTTCATGATATTTATGGAGTACAAAATATCACCATCGAAAGCTCTTCTCTGGAATCATTTGTTTTTCGGTGTCCCGGTTTGAGTGCTGACTGCAATCTCAACATCTCAGGAGAGAAACTTGAAAGCTTACATATCTATTGGGGAAATATTTATCTTGACAAGAAATCGTTGTTAAATCTTTTCGCTCCAAATCTTAAATCTTTGATTTGGTCGGGGAGTTTGTTTTCTCACCAAAATGTGGGGAAATTAACGCGTTTAGAGAAGGCTGAGCTCTCTTTGAAAGTTAAGTCTGGAAAAGAGTTCGACATCATATACGAGATTCTCTGCAGCATGCCTGAGGTTAAAGTTCTTATTCTACACAAAGAGATCACCAAGGTAATTAAAGAGACACTACCTTCAAGCTCATGCATTATTTTCTATTTTTGGAAGAAGAATCTTTTTTGCAATTTGTTCTGATACCATGCTAAAATATGGAACCTAATATGAGAATATTTGTTTGTGGGAATTTTCTGTGTATTGTTCTCCTTGTAGGAGGTCATATTTATAATACAACGGAACTTTAATGGGAAAATAAATAATAAATTCATATTTATATTTACAATAGGAAATCAGGAATTAAAGTAAATTAATTACAATTATAATATGAATTCTTGGTGTGAAAGGAAAGTAAGTCAATGGTCCACAAGTCACACCAACATTACAATGGTATGCGTTTTTTATTTTGACCAATTAATGAGTTCAACTTGATTTTGGTTGTTTTGATTACTATTCTTAGAAGATTTTTGGGTTCTCTTCATCTTTTTCTATTTTGGGTTTGCCTTTTAACATCGCAGGCTCTGTTAAAGGAAGGTCCTATACCAACACTCTTTTGTGCTCGGATTCATTATTTACAAATGCACATGGAGGGCTTGTTTGATTTTCTGGTCCCTGCAATGGTCTGTTTTTTTCGAGGAATGCCAAGTTTGAGTACTTTGTACCTAAAATCTGACCAAATCACCTTCCACCCTGAAGCTAGAGTAAGTAAAAAGTCCTATCTCTTTTTAGTGCATTTTTCCATCTGTTCTTTCTTAAACATTCATCAATTTTTCAGCTGATCTGCTTGATTCCTTGTTGCCTTTCCAGTCATCCGGGTTTGACGCAGAATTCTGGAAATTGCAAAACCTTGCTTTTATTAAGAAACTGAGGCTGGTAAACATTGAGCTTTCCAATGGGTCTAATGGAATCGAGTTAGCAAGGTATGTCCTCGAGCATGCTCAGAACTTGGAGAAAATGGCGATTGTGCATTCACCCAAGGATTGAAATATCGGCCGATACACCGATATATCGGCCGATATATCGACATTTTAAACTGTCGACACCGATATTGGGGGGTAAGGTCATATCTTCCCCTATATCGACGATATATCCCCGCTAAGTGCGATATTCCCGATATTTTGCCGATATTTCCCGATATTTCCCGATACCCATAACAAAACCCAAAAAAATTAAAAAGCTTTGAAGCAAATTGAAACTGAAAATATTTTTTGGAGGTATATGCTTGGACCTAGGCAAGGTCAAAGACGTCCCTTGAGAGACGATGCTAGTGCTAGTAGAATGGAAAGTTCATCCAATTCGTCAGATAATAATGGAGGAAGTAATGATGGATCAGGAGGTAATGAAGAAGGAAGACAATACAACCCATTTACTGTTGAGGCTGATTTTACTCATACCACCCAAGATGAGGATCATGGATGCAGAGAAGCTGGACCAGACATTGACGCAATTGGGAAGCAATACTCAAAGAAAAGAAGC